CCACCTTCCCTTTGGTGGTGACTGGATTTGTCTTTCCCAATGTCCTGATGGCTTTGGTCTGCAGTGAGGGTGGAGTCCACAAAGCCTGCATGGAATTAGCTCAGGACATCATTTCCCCCTAACAGAACTAGATCTAAATATTGGCTGGTCAGTTACCTGCTGTGTGACTTTAGGCAAGTCAATTAATCTCTCTGAGCCTCCCTTTCCTTAGCTGTGAAGTGAAGAAAGGTATGCCCAAAACTCAGCCTGGCCCTGCCTGGCACACTGCAGACTGACGGGTTTAGTTTAAAGGAAGGAAGGAGGGATTTATTGCGTCCCCGCTGTGCACCAGACCAGTGGGGACACTGAGGTGAGCAGGCAGATACAGTCTCCGCTGTCGTGGACATTTATCTCAAAGGGCCGTGGAAGTGGTTAATTGTAGCAGCAGTTAGTTAATGGTGGTGTCCTAACTGTGGTCAGGATTTCTCCAGAGCCCATGGCCTTCAGCCAGGAATGAGAGTGGGGACTTAACCCTAAACCGACAGAAAAGGAGTCTTGTCCCCCTTCACTCAGCTTCAAGTGACCTGGACCTGGCTCCCCACCCAGGGCCCAATTGTCCGGTACACCTAGTTCTTGAAAGGTCCATGCAGGAGGCCGGAATGCAGATCTTTCCCGCGCCGAACCTTTCAGTTCTCTCTCCACCCGGGGCACTCTGCACTCAGCTGCATACAGTAGGTGCTCTGACTCAGAGGCTGAGCAGCTGTTGAAGCTGTGTCGCAAAGTTAGGGGAAGCTCATGAAAGCAAGACAGGGGCCTTAGAGAAGGAGGTGAAAGGAGAGGGCCTTTAAAGGCCTCCCACACACATCAAAGCCCAGGCCAGGCGGGTCCCCTCCCTTAGGGGTGCCCCTCTTTAGGAAGAACCTGGCCAGGCCTGTCTCCTTCACTGTCTGTGGATTGGGTGACTGAGCAGGTACATCCCAGGCTTTCTAGCCCAGCTCTCTGCACACCCACCCACAGTGCCCGTGAACCCACCAGCACTGTTGGGGGAGCAATAATTGTAGAAGAAGCTGGTGGGGAGGAGCCAGCGAGGGTGGGAGGAGGGGTAAGGCAGGTCAAGGCCCACCCCACAGTTCCTCTGGGCCTTCATTGTTTCCTTAAGAAACCTGGTGAATTTGCATTCCATTCCCAAGTGGCTGTGTTTGAACATAGCAAGATTGCCTGTGCTCCTGCCATAAAGGGTCGGAGTAAATCTGAAGGCAGAGACTGCACTGTTACCAGCAGCTTCCCTCAGGCCCTGCGTAGCATGCCTCCTCACTGACCCCCCGGGGTGAAGGGTCCCAGATGAGAGACTCCCCAAGGCATGCTTTCCCAAGTCTCTGGAACTTTTTGAGCCCTGACCTATTTGTCACTCCCTTCACATCACATTCATCCATTTCTGTGGCCGCCTTGGCCACTAGACAGTGGCCTGTCTCAAGGACAGGGCCCCAGGCCTCCTCACCCTATGGCCCCAGGCCTCAACATAGGCCTACTGGCAGGTGATTAACTCCAGGCAAAATGAGAATAAATGAATGGGCAGGGCCCTGGGCTGTGGGAGCAGAATAAAGTCCTCCCAAAGATATCCAGGTCCCCCACCCATCCTGTGAATGTGTTACCTTATATGGCAAAAGGAACTCTGCAGGTGTGATTAAGTTAAGGGTCTGGACCTAGGAAGAAATGTGCCCTGAGGCCAAGCCACTTCAGCCTGCTCTATTTCAAGGCTGCCTTGCAGATTTCAGACCTGTCTACCCGACCCCAGTTCTTTACAATTGATCAGTCATTCAATCTCTAGGTATCTCTATGTATCTATCTTAACTGTCTCTCTGTGGAACCTTAAATGATACAAGGACCAAGGGAAATTGGCCTTTGGGGGTCTACATGGGAGGTTACATGGGGTCTACAGGGGTCAGAATGGGGTCAAGGAGAGCCAGGACTCGTCTAGAAGGTCAGGTGTCCTGTAGGGGCCTGGGCTGGGAGGCTGGAGCACTGACCTTGGCTGTGGGCAGGATGAAAGTGGAGTCAAGGCAGCTGTGCAAACACGAGCAGGGGCAGAGCGGCAGAGCTGGGGAGGGGGGCTGGGTAGAAGAGGGAGGCCTGAGCAGGCTGGGACACCAGGTGAGGCCTCTGCAGGAGAGAGGCCTAGAGGTGCTCGGAAGCCAGGCCAAACTGTGCCGGATCCTGCTCATCTGGCCGGCCGGCTGCGTGTCAGAGTTGGGGGACCACAGCAGTGATGAGATGCGCCCCTGTCCTTGTGGGGCATACAGTCCCCCTCCCTGGGTTGTTCAGATGTCCAGTAAGTACAGTGCCTGGCACAGAATAATTACCAAACAAATGATCCGTGGTCAGGTCCCCACAAAAAGGCCCTAAAATGAGGCATTTGACAAATAAAGATGTGGAAAGAGAAAAGCAGGGCTCAGTGGAATGAGAAGGGCCTGGGCTGGGGCGAGGTGGGCAGAGAGGGGGAAACCAGGTGGGTAGCATTGTGCATGCAGGAGGAGCCATCTCTCCCAGCGTTCCCTCCCTGCCTCTGTCCACCCCCAGAACTGTCCTTTCTTGAGGGCAGGCTCCTCCTCTCCCACTGGGTAATCAGAGCCAGGATCACTGCCCATCCACCCCTCCCCTCCCAAGAACTCCATTACCCCTCAGCCCTCTCCTGGGGTTGTGGTTTTAGCAAACAATTTGGATCCTTCTACAGCCTGGGGGGAGGAGGCCTGGCCCCTTCCTTCTGAGTGGTGGTGAGAAATGCTGTGCATTCCTGTGTCAGGGGGGCAGGCTCTGCCTCTCACTGGGCCCAGGGCAGCCCCAGAAGGGTAAGATAAAGTCTGACCCGAACCCCCCTCACAGGCTCCCCAGCCCCTTCTGCTGCCAGTGCCCACCTGGCATGCTGCCAGACAGTCTACACAGGGCCAGGGTGGGTGGGCGCTGAGGCCTGACCCCTTCAGGCCCAGAGAGCCCTAGTGGGTTAGAGTGAGATCCTGGGGCTTCTGCCCTGGAGGCAGGGTCCTGTCTCCAGAGTCACCAAGGAGGGCCGTGCCTGACACCCCCCCCCCTTGCAAGCAGCTCTCCTTACAAGGTTACTGACAAGTGAGGGCAGTCCGGAGAGCACCTGGGGGTGTGCAGAGTAGGTTTGGGATCACAGGTGTCACTGGAGGCCAGCTGGGTGGATGCTCTTACTCAACCCTGCGCCTGCTCGCAGTCTTCACCCGCCCTTATCACAGGCCAGAGGGCTGAAGCCGTGAGACGGTAAGTCACTTGTGCAAGGACACACAGGCAAGCAAGGGCAGGCCAGTGTGGGACTGCGGGGCCCCTGCTTTGAAGTACGAGGCACAGGTCCTCAGGGAAGGTGGAGAAAGGCCTGGAAGACAAGTGAACGGGCAGGGCTTGAGGGAAGACAACTCTGCCTCCCAAGGGTGGGGTCGTCATGGTGGGTGTGGGCGGCAGCTGGACAGGTCAGGAAGGCCCTCTGCGGCATGGTGTGGAGTTTCCACCTTCTCGAGTGTCTGTCCGCTGGGCCCCCCACCTCTCACACCCACCTGCCAGGAAGGATCTAGTGAACTACTCTGGGCTCTGGCTGGAGTGATGGGGGTCCTCTGGAGGTGGAGGATGTTTTGCTCAGTTTACCTCATTCTGTCTTCCAGGAAGGGGACTGTGGTCTTTGATGTGGGACCTGGTGTGGTCCAGCAGCCAGGGGTACTCAGTGAAAACAGGGTTCTACCCTGTTCAGTGGCCAGGACCCAGCCCCTGCCGGTGAAGGCTGTCCTCAGAGTCCCCCATGGGTGATGCACCCTTCTGAGCCCAGGGTAGCCCACCTCCCCACCCCCTCCTCACTCCTGCTCCCCACTCTTCACACGCCCCCACCCCCACCCCCACCCTATTTGAGGAGCCCCTCCCCCACAGGTCAATGGAGGGGAAACAGCACTTCCTGCTGGGTCCCTGGGGAGCTGTGTCAGGCCAGCTGGGGCTCTGGGCTGGATCTGCAGGGGGAGGGAGCAAGGCAAGGGGTGAGGAGGGGGGAGGATCAAGGAGAGAGGGGAAGGGGGCAGAGAGAGAGACAGAGAGGACAGGAGACAGGAGGTTCCAGGACAGGACTCAGATGCACAGAGGAGGAGGTGGGAGAAACAGGAGAATTAGACCCTAGAGACAAAAAGGTAAGAGCAGGAGAGAAAACGAGAAACCACAAGGAAGAGAAAGAACGGGCGGAGAGGCCCAGAGAAATCTCCTGCCCTTCCCAATCTCATCGATTTTCTTTGGGGCTTTTTCTGTGTCTGTGTCATGAGGCCTGCAGGCCTGGGGTCAGCAGCACATCAAACTGACCCATAAACATGGCCTCCATGACCACTGCCGCCTTGGCTAGTGTCAGCCCCCACCAGCACCTGGAGGAGGCCGGCTGGATGCTGAGAGGGGCCATCAGCAAATTGAAGGCCTGGGGGCCGGTTCTTGGGGAAGCTTCTTCCCATCTTCCCCCAAGTACTTCCAGAAATTCTTAAGAGTGCTTAAGAATTTCACAAATTCTCAATTTGTTCTTCTGGGACAGCAAAACTACTCCAAGGGGCCATGGAAGACTTTAAACCAAACATTCAGGCGTAGCATGAAAGAGGGACAAGCAGGCCAACCCTCCTTCAAATGCAGGCTCTGCTGTCTGCTTGCTGGGTGGGCTCCGGGAGATGACTCCCCTCTGAGCTTTGTATTTCCCAAGCATGACTGACATTGCCATTGTTCTCCCTGCTGATACCCAGAACGAGCTCCCCAGGGCTTGATGCACCCCCATGTGCAAAAGCAACTCCTCAAGCCTTGAGCGGTAATGAGCTTTCACTGAGGTTTTGTGGGGCAAGGAAGGAGAGCTCCAGGCTTGCACTGGATGTTTGTCTTCTCGATTCTTCTCACGCTAGAGCAGCTCTGGCTCTCTCACCACCCTTTCTTCTGGCAGCTACTCCAGTTCTACTTCTGATATTTTGAACTTTGCCCTTTTCTTCTGTCTTATGCAGGACAATTTAGTTCTCTCAACTCTTGGAATCTTTGAAGGGACTGAGCAGCATCACTAAGAACAAAGTCTCCAGAGGCAGCCGAGCCAGGTTTCCTTCTCAGCCGCTTCCTATTAGCGGCGTGGTTGCAGGTAGGCGGCCTCAGTGTCTTCACCTGTCAAAGGGGTGGATGCGCGCAAGGCCCACTGGCAAGCGCTGCTGTGAGGCTCACGTGCGAAGTGTCCAGCCATGGTGCCTGTTACAGAATAAACGCCAAACAAGTGCTGGGTCTTCATCAGTGCTTCCCCGTCAGAGCACCCTCAAGACCTAGCCCTCTCTCCATGGCGGTGAGGGATTGTAAGTCACGTTTTGCTCATCACAGTTTTTCCCACCACATGTCAAAGGGGAATCAAAGGGGAATACTACATTGACATTTATCATGTGCTGTGGCCACCCTGACATCTTTTTGCAAATTCTTCTGTGTGGGCACGAAGGGACGGTGCAGGAGCTCTATGATCCGAGCAGACGGGTGAAGGAGGGAGTCCTGGAGCCCTCGGTGGCTTTTGCAGGCTTTTATTGGGATTTACCAGGTACAAGGCAGGCAGAGGTGCTGGGGGGCCAGGAGGCTAGCAGGCCTCCCAGCCCCCAGCAAGTCTTCACTCCATCTGGGCTCTTCGATGCTCTCTTGTGACCTTTACTTCTTCTGCTCCTTTCACTCTGCTGTTCCGCTGGAAGCTGTCTTTCGCTCTTGTTCTTTCTGCTTCTTTGATCTACTCTACTGGCATCCCTGTGACGCCACCCTTATAAGCCCAGTCTCTCCAGCACAGGTGTACCCACTTACACGTGCCCACACCCAACTCCAGGTGCCCGCCATCAGGCACGCACTCAGGACCGCAGGGTTCCGTCATCTATCCTAATGGCGGGAGGGCCGAAAAGCCTGATATTTTTTACTTTCCCCTACAGCTTCCTATTTGGGGAAATGTTATCTCTTTCTTGCTTCTGGTGCAGGTAAGGAGTGTTCATGCCAGGCAGACTCTGCTGATCTGAAGCCACTATGTCCAGGAGACGGGGGTTGCAGACTTGAGGGGTGATGATGGAGGCATCAGCCTGGGAGGGCTGCAGTGGTGGAATGGGGGTGCCTAGCACTGGGGTCAGTGGTGACAACTGTGTGGGGACTGTATCCTTCCCGGGGCTGTCCCATAGGTATTTGGGGGTTGCTTTTGCTGGGTAGCCTTGGGGCCTGACTCTTGGCTTCTCTTGATGATTCTGTAAACTTCTAATAGCATTTTGTCCAGTGGTTCTTTTTTTTTTTAAAGATTTATTTATTTATTTATTTATTTATTTATACAAGCACTGGGTACAGTCAGAAGCGCAGGAGGGTGAGAGAAAATTCACCAGAGCCAGAGCGGGGAGCAGAACAGACAGAATGATAAAATACACTGCTGAGGGGGGCAGTGGGCGTGGCTGGAGAGATCTGTGCGCCATGTGGGACCCTCGCCAGCGGCGGGGCATTGAATTGGTGCTGCGGAGGCTGCAGGCAGCTTCGCAGCCCAGTGCTCAACCGCTGCGCCACTGGGGAGGCCCTGTCCAGTGGTTCTTACAGTGTGGTCCCAGGACCTGCTGTTAGAGCCATGTTAGCAAGACTGGGAGCTTGTTAGAAATATAGATCATGGGTCCATCTAAGACATACTGCACTAGAAACTGGAGGGCAGAGGTGGACCCCACAGTCTGTGCTTAATAAGCCCTCAGGGTGATTCTGATGTTCTCTCATGTTTGAAAGCCCTTGTTCTAAGAAGTTCTCTTTCATCTGTTTTTAAGACCATGTGGAGTCTCCTGTGTTCACCTGAGTCCTGTAACTGAACTGCTACCTCTAAAGATCTGGGGATCCCTAGGGCTGCCTATTTGAAATTTCCTGGCACCCTGTAAGTGCTCATTGCAGGATTGTGAACTTCTGATTGTTGTACCACATTTTTACAAGCATTGTATTTTGACTGAAAGGTTTTTTTTTTTTTTTTTTTCTTCTTTGCTTTGCTTTGCTCTGGGTACATACTCTGAAATACTGATATAAGAGATTTTTTTTCCCAAAGATTTATTTATACAAGCACTGGGTACAGTCAGAAGCGCGGGAGGGTGAGAAAATTCACCAGAGCCAGAGCGGGGAACAGAACAGGCAAACTGATGAAATACACTGCTGAGGGGAGCAGCGGGCACGGCAGGAGAGGTCTGCGTGCTATGTGGGACCCTCACCGGCGGCTGGGGATTGCTGCAGAGGCTGTGGCAGCTTCGTAGCCCAGTGCTCAACCGCTGCACCACCAGGGGAGGCCCAAGAGATTTTTTTTTTAAGTGCTTCAGATCTTGAAGTGTGCCAGCTCACATTCAAGATGGTAAGACCAATAGAAGAGCATAAAAGAATGCTGTAGGAAGAAGAAACCATGGGGGTATACAGGGGAGGCTTCCTTGAGGAGGAGCTTATTAAAGTGTGACTGCAGAGGTGAATGTGTTCACCAGGACTTTTTCTTTTACAAGTGACAGAAACCTTAAAAAAGTGGAATTTACTGACTCCGTGAAATGTTTAGGGATAGATCTTGAGGTTCAGGTATGGCTGGATCCAGGTCCTCACATGATCAGTATCTTGAAGGCTTTGTCTCCATCTATGTCTCGACTCTGTTTTCCTCCTATTCTGAAGCAGGTCCTCTGCACAGTGGCACAAATGGCCCCCAGAGCCATGGAATTATAGTCCAATAGTTTAAAAAACACAGAAAAAGTCCAGAGTTAACCCTGAATGCACCAACTTGGGCTCTGGGCTCATCCTTGAATCAATTGCCAGTGGCCAGATGTGTGGAGAATTCTGATTGGTTGAATCCAGGGTCATGTGTGAACCCCTGAAGCCAGAGAGTAGATGGAGTCCTATGTGAACAAAACTGACAGCAGTGGGGGAGAGGTGGTTCCCTCTGTGGACACTGGGTTGTGTTGCCAGAGGAAGAGAATGGGATACGGGGAAGGCAATGAGAAATGTGTCTACTCCCCCAAGGAAGCCTGACTGGATGATAAATAGGGAAGAGGGAATTTGAGGGGGAAGGAAGGATGTATTAGATAATTAGATCTCTTGCAGCATAACAACTTACTACAGACTCAGTGGCCTAAAACCACACACATTTATGATCTCATCCTTTCTGTGGGTCAAGGATGTGGCAGTGCTTAGCGGGGTCCCCTGCTCAGGCTCTTATAAGGTGACAGTCACAGCGTTGGCTGGAGCTGCAGTCTCACCTGAGGCTAGACTGGGGAAGCATCCACATCCACGCTCACCAGGGGGTCGACAGAATTCAGTTCCTTGCTGTGGTCCTACCAGGGTCCTCACTTTGGGGCTGGTTGTCAGCAGGCCACTTCCCCCCACTTCCTTATCACAAGCCATCAAGAAGAAAGAGCCTTCTCATAAGACAAGTGTTACAACTTCTGGAAGGAGTCATAGTCACATTCATGTGATCCCGTACATACCATCACCTTTGCCACATTTTGTGGCTAGAAGCAGTGTGGTCCCACCTATAAGGCTGTAAATACAAAGAGGCAGGATCCCAGGGCCACTCCAGACTTCAGCGACCACAGCCAGCCAGCCCAAGCAGTGACCTAGAGTTGAGATTCCACTTAGAATAAGCAGAAGAAATGCAGGTGTGCATACGTGGACCTTAAAAAGAGGCCTGTCTAGGAAAGTGTTTCCGCTTTGTGCCAAAGGCCAAAAGTGAGGTAAGAAGCCTTGTCTGGAGCCCAGCTGCTGGTGCATAGTAGGCCCTTATCCATACTTGGTTACACTGAGTTTTAAAATAGATGAGCTGCCCAAATTCACATTCATTCACTCATGCATTCAATCCACAAGCATTTTTGGAGTCCCTTCCACGACTCAGGTCCCGTGCCAGGCACCGGGACATGCTGTGCATAGCACTTTGCCCTCTCGAACTCACTGGGGTGAAAACTCATAGCTGAGCAGTATGGCTGTTTATGGTTTGTGGTTTAGGATGCCTTTTCCCACGTCCTGTCCCATGATCCTGGTGCCTGGATGCTGTTGGAGTGTGCAAGTTCAGAGGTTGCTCTACGCTCACCCCTCCACTCCCTTCCCAGTGCCTGACATGCATTGAGCTCTAACCTCAGGACAGGCCTGTGGGGCTCAGAGTTTGGGAGGTGCCTGGTAGTGGCCCCCCGTGGGGCTGAGTGTCCTTGGAGACATCACTCGGGCCATGGGAGCTGGGAAAGGCCTGCTTCATGAGACTGCCTCCACTGCAGACATGATAAGAAAGTAACCACAATCCTTTTTGGGTAGCTTTCTTGGTCAAAAGAGGAACATGGTCTGGAGTGAAAAGGGAAGATATGGAGGAACTGACCCTGCAGGCCTTGGTCAGTAGAGGATGGGGACAGCAGATTAAGGTCTCAGGGTCCCACCTCCTGGGGTCTCAATAGTGCTCTCCAGTTTGCTTCCCTCTTGTTCCAGTGTCCATGATGCCCCGGGTCCAGGTACAAGCCCATTCTCCGGGACGATCCTCGCAGGGCACAGCTCTCTCCCCGCGGCCGCCTTCAGGGGCCACAGCTGTTCTTCGTTTTGCGTTTTGGGATTCTGACATGGTTGGAAGCAGAAACATCCTGAGACAAGGATCTGAATATTGGTCGGTTGTTTGTTGGGACGTGTTCCCTGGCAACTTAGGTAAGGGAGTAGGAGGGCAAGGGGGAGGGAAGGCCTGCTAGAGAGTGTGCTGTCAAGCCAGCTTCCTCTGGGGGCAACTGGGGCCTCAGGGAGCCAATGGAACGTTGCACCTCCTAGCTATCCCACCCAAGGGTGAGGGCACCCCAACATTTGACTCCCACCAACCACCCTTGAGGCTGCTTCCTGAGGATGGGCCTTCATGTCTTAGCACTCCCAGCCTCCCCTGAGCCTTCCAGCAAAGTGTCATAGATGCTGGCAGAATATTGGGGTGCCAACAGTATCTGCATCGGTGTAAGATTTTTTGAAACAAAGGATTTTACTGTTAAACATAAACCTTTGAAAACCTGTCACAGAAGCCAAAACCCCATTTCACATGTGGGCTGAGAAAGTCCGAGATGGCAAAGGGTGTGTCTGACTTCCCGACAAGTTAAGGGAAAAACGAATTCAGAAACCAGGCCCAGTCTGGGAGTCCAGAGCTTTCTCTTTAACTTCTTCTTTTTTTAATTTATATATTTCATTTTATCCCCACCAGCCGCCCTTATACCTCTTGTCTCTTTCCTTCCCCCTTAACCTCACAGCGCTCCCATGTTTGTCCATGTCCACTAGTTTTTGTAATTATTTACTTTATCCAATCATCTGATATATAAATGTCCAGTATTTGTTTTTGTCATTCTGTTAACTTCTTATTCTGAAATAATTATAGATTCACTCAGTCTCCCTGTTGTGCAACTGTCCCAGGCTGGGCCCCATGTGTGTCAACCATTCACTGCCTTTTATTGCTGAATAGCAGTCCACAGTCAAGGACATTCGAAAAAAGCTGCTAAGAATATTTGTGTGGATGATTCCATTGCAGCGAGCAGAATAATGACTCCCCAAATGTTTGCGTCCTCATCCTTTTGAACAGCTTACCTTCCATGGTGAAAGAGACTTTGCAGATGGGAGTAAGTTAGGGACCGTAGTCACTGATGTTCTAACTGGGCACATACATTTCCCAGACTCCCTTGCAGCTACACATGGCCATGTGACTAGGTGGAGGCCAATAGAGATGAGTGAAGACAATAAATGCCACTTATGAGCAATGACCTGTGTTATCTATTACTGGATAACAAATTTCCTAAAACTTTGCAGCTAAGCAACAATAGGCACTTATTTCATGCAGTTCCAGTGGGTCAGGAGTGGTTTAGCTGAGCTGTTCCTGTGCTACACCTTGTAGGAAGTATCTGGCTTGGTCGCCAGCAACCTGCAGGCTGCGACATCCACATGAAAGCTGGCTTCCTCAAATGGTGAGCAAGTTCTTGCTGTCTGTGGACCTCTCCATGGCTGCTTGAATGTCTTCACATGGCAGCTGGCTCCCCCAAGACAAGGAATCCACAGAGAACAAGGCAGAAGATGCAATGTCTTATGACCTGCCTTGGAAGTATACAGCTTTTTAGAAATATTCTATCGGCGACACAGGTCTATTGTCCCTAATCATTGTGGGAGGAGACCACACAGCGCATACCTGCAGGAGGCAGGGATCGTTGGGACAATCCTGGAAGCTGACTACTAGCTGTCTTTTATTCTTTTTAAAGATTTATTTTTATTTATGTATACAAGTACTGGGGTGTAGGCCAGAGGTGCGGGGTGGGGAAGTGAGAGGATTCGCCAGAGACACAGTGGGGACCAGAACAGGTGGATCTGCTGAGGGGAGCAGCAGGCGAGACAGGAGAGGTCTGCTGTGCCATGTGGGTCAGCTCCCTGGCCAGGCATTGAACTCATGCTGCAGTGGCTGGTGATAGCGTGACAGTGCTGAGGGAGGCCTTGTGCCACCAGGGAGGCCCCAGCTACTGCATGTCTTAATAGAAAGGCCTGTACCACCTTCTTTCTTTCTCCCCTCTCCCCGGAATGACAAGTGAATTGCCATTTCATGGCTGAGGACATGTGAGTCCGGGCAACCTTCTAAGGACAGCTGAGCAATAAAATGGAAGGAGCCTGGGTGGGTAGCATTGTTGAGTTGCCAACTTAACCCTGGCACCAACTTTCTCCCCACCTGTTATGTGAGAGAGAAACACATCTCCATCTTATTGAAATGCCATGTTTTTCCAGCTACAGCAGCTTCACCACCTCCCACTAATATAGTCCTTTTGCTGATATGGTGAGACTTTGATTTCTCCCTCCTCCACTCCCCCAGCTCCTCGACCTTGTGAGGTTAGCAAGGAGAGAGTAAGTGGATTCTGCCAGCCTGTGCTCCTGACCCTCCTACCTTCCAGACAGGTCCTGGTTGTCTAGTCTAGGAAACTGGATGAGTGTGCCTTTCAGCTCCATCCCTCCCCTCCCGACTGCCCCCCTCCTTTCCCGGTCCAGCGTGTCATTCATCACTCATTTACTTGAAAGCTGCTTAAATCATAGAATGTAAACTGTCCTGGGAGAAAATGCCCACAACCATTAGCAGCATCACCCTAAAAGCAAGTCTCTGCTTTCCTAATATAGTCCTGGTCATCAATTTACATGTGCTTGGCAGTCTGGAAAGTTCTTTCCCACCAATCCATTCTTCTCATTTGAACCTGAACACACTCTGCTGAGTCCTGTTTCTCTCAACAGAGCTCGTAGGGAAGGGGCAGAGAGGGAAGGCTGCGACAGGTGGGCGGGGCGGCCTCCCCTGCTCCTTGGTGGTTTATGTTTTCCCTCATCACAGCCCCATCACTCTGCCCAATGGCTGTGGGCACAGTCTGGTGTCTTCAATACTCCTGTAGGAGTTTGTTGACTGAATAAATGAGGGTATGTGGGTACCTAGGTCACAGTGGGAGCAGAAAAGTGGGATCAGAGGAGTAGTGAGCCATCCATTCCCACCTGAGGAAGGCCAGGCTGCTCACTCCATCCCTTGCTTCTGATCCCCATTAGTGCCTTGGAGAAGTCTTTCAAAGTTTGCATTCACTAAGTACTTCCTACAGACTGGCACCATTATTTTTCACTTTGCAGATGAAGAAACTGAGGCCTCCACCAGAAAAGCATCTCTCAGACCCCTGACAGTGGTTCTCTGCAAGTCCCACGGGGGGACCTTTCTTCCAATAATTCAGAGACATGTGTTATCAAATTCAATAATAATGATAACACAAATAATAACACATGAGGAGGTCCGTTTGGTTCAAGCCTCCGAAGTGGCTGTTCCACCCCACTTTGCTGTTCCCATCTGCCTGTGTGGACTTTTTCTGGCGGCTCCCATTTACACCTTCCCTGACCTCAGCAGAGCCCCCGAATGCCTGTGTGGATGGACGCAGATGCCAGTCTCGACCTTCCTTTGACTCTGTGGGAACATCCACCCCTTGACATTCCCTCCAGCTGCTGCTGGGAATCCCTAGGGAATTTCCACTTAGCCGGGGGCTTTCCGAGCTTCAGTGGAACAGCTTTTCCTGTTTTCACTCACAACAGACTCTGGCCTCCCTGAGGGTCAAGTTTAAACTCAGTATGGCTATTTGTGTGAGTTGCTCATGAATTCGTTCATTTGTTCAAAGGTACAAATGGAAGCACCTGGTCATGGCAGGCACTGAGCAAAATGCTGAGGACACAGCTGGACCTTCTGTGTGGGCTGCCCCCCCACCCCACACCTACAACCCCACAGGGAAGAGAGACTTCAACAGTGATCGAAATATCGAGAGACCACTTCACCCCCCAACCCCATCACAAATTAGAAAGATTAGGACTTGCAAGTGTTGGGGATAACGTGGGGAGGTAGGAGGCCTCGGCACTGCTGTGGACATGTATGTTGCCTCCACCATTCTGGGCAGTATTTGGTAACATTAAATCTGAACAAACCTTGTGTCCAGAAATCCCATTCCTGGATAATCACCCCAGAGAAGCTCCTAAAAAGCCAGGAGAGAATCGAACAGAAAGGTTCATGGCAGTGTTGCTAGTGGCAGAGTGTATCAGCAGATGGTGCTGGGGAAGGTGAAGCAATAGTGAGGAGAACATACTAGATGTTCCTAGAGCAATGCAGATGGGAAGACCATAGTGAAATTTAGTCTTACATAGTGAAATTTAGTTTTTGAAAATGAGAGCACATGCAGGAAGCCCTTAAAATGTACAAGCCTCGTGTATTTGGGGAAGGTGACTAGGAGTGGGGATCAAGGAAAAAGACTTAAGAGTCCTTGGGGGCCTCCCTTGGTGGCACAAGGGGGTGAGACACAGCACTGTGAAGCTATCTGCAGCCTCTGCAGCACAAGTTCAATCCCCAGCCAGGGAGCAACCCACATGGCGCAGCAGACTTCTCCTGGCTCTCGCTGCTCCCCTCAGCAGTGTAGGCCAGTCTGCCTGTTCTGCTTCCCACTGTGTCTCTGTGAATCCTCTCATCCCCCCACACTCTGGCCTGTACTCCAGTTCTTGTAAGCATAAATAAATCTTTAAAAAAGGGGTCTTGCATAAACTACCAAAGATCGCTTGCTACACCCTGGAAAGATATCAGTCAACTCTCTGTAGCTGGAGGTCCTTAGAAACGAAATGAAAACAAATAGTTGCGCTCACGAACACACTAAGCCTAGTGGAGACAATCCGAGGGCCACACCCAGGCTGCTCCACTCTTTGTTCCTGACTCTTCCTCAGGCCCTGGCCCAGTGGCCTCATCCCAACCTCCCCCATTGGGAGTCTCTTTTGCCTTTAGCAGTGTCTCTTTCTTCATTCGAAGTGTCTTCTGCCCCATGTAGGCCCATGTTCAATGGCCCAGAACCTCTGATCTTACGTGGATTGGAGGTGAACGCTGCTTATCTCCAAAGGAGACTCAGCTCGCCAGGTCTTGGGCCTGTGCTGTCACCATGCAATCATCACTTACTGCTGCCTGCCTGGTGCCAGGGCCCAAGCATCAGTGTGGCAGGTTTGGCAGAGGTGGTGTCTAAAGGGTGAGTCCATGAGACTAAGGGGTGGGATGGGCAGTAGGGTCTTACATAGGAGGGGCGGAGGCAGGACAGTGAGTGGGCTGGGCCAGGCAAGATGGTTCAGACTGTGAGTGGTCACTCCTGGACATGGAGGTGCCAGGGCACTGAGAGCTGCCCCGGGTCCAGCCTGCCAGCCCCAGCATCCTTCTCTTAGCATTGCAGTTGTGACACGCCAGATGCCCCACATGTGGTGTCCTACACAAGTCTGTGGTCACTGTTTAGCAATGCACTTCATCTCCCATAAACACTCTTCGGGTTTTATTTTTGTTCCTCTTTATTTATGGCTCTGTACATCTCCCTGACCCCCATCTGAGGCCCAGAGACAAGGGCAAAGGCTCTTCCACAGATCTCTTGGGAGGTTAAGGGGGAGGCGTGGGCGAGAGGCCTTTTGTCAGCGACTCTCATCCCGGTCACATGGACGGAAGCAGGAGTCCCTGGAGACTCATTTCTCTGACCCTTCACAAACCAGCCTGGGAAGGAGGGGGCCATACTGCCCGTCTCTGGCCCCAGATCCAGGGAAGAAGAGAGGTGTGAGGGTGTTTCTGGGAGCCACGCCCTGTGCTTCCTTCCTTGTCTCGATCCTCACTTCCACCTCTGAGAGAAACAGTAGTTTACCTGTCTCATAGATGAGGAAAATATGGCACAGATGTCAATGAACTGGCCCAAAGTTGCACAGCCGCACAAGAAGAGGCTGGCTTGACCCCTTCCAGCCCTGCTGCGGGTAACACTGGTGCATCCTGTGGCTTGAGTATGAGCATCCGGTGTCTTTAGGTTGGTGCAATATGGGGAAAGAGACTGAGTCTCTAAATAAAAAAAAAAAAAAAATCATTATTTTCCTTCTCCTACCCAGTTTTGCTCCAAAGAGACTAGTATGAAAATAATAATAGCCAGAAAATAATAGACTAAAGCAGTAGACCAGAAAGTAATAGGTAACTTTATGAAGTGCTTTCTTTGTTCCAGGCACTGTTTGAGCTCTTTATTGGTATGAAATTGTTAAACCTCCCCACAAATCTGTTGTGCTAGGTGCCCTTATTATCCTCATTTAATAAGTGAGGAAACTGAGGCACAGAGAGGGAAAGTAACTTGCAATCTCACAAGTGGCAGAGCTGAGATTGGAGCACAAGCTCTCTCTGGAGACCGCCTCTTTTTCAACTAGTTCATTATTATTATTTTTTAAAGATTTTTATTTATGCATACAAGAGCTGAGATGCAGGCCAGAGGTACAGGGGGTGATGTGAGAGGATTCACCAGAGACAGAGTAGGAAACAGAACAGGCAGACTGACTGAAACACACTGCTGAGGGGAGCAGCGGGAGAGTCAGGAGAGGTCTGCCGCGCCATGTGGGTCAGCTTCCTGGCTGGGAATCGAACTCATGCTGCAGTGGTTGCGGATAGCTTCATAGTGCTGAGACTTAAATCCTTGTACCACCGGAGAGGCCCTAATTCATTAATTTTTAATTGTGATCAAAAACATGTAATATAGGGGCCTCCCCTGGTGGCACAGGTGGTTGAGCACAGCGCTATGAAGCTGTCTGCAGTGCCGGTTTGATCCCAGCTGGCCAGCGAGGGTCCCACATGGTGTGGCAGACCTCTCCTGTCTCGCCCTCTGCTCCCCTCAGCAGTGTATTTCGCCAGTCTGCCTGTTCTGTTCCCCGCTCTGTCTCTGGTGAATCCTCTCACCCTCCCCCGAATCTGGCCTGTACCCCGGTTCTTGTATAAATAAATAAATCTTTTAAAAAATGTAATATACATGTGCCATTTAAATTGTCTTCAAGGGTAGATATCAGTGGCATTAAATCCATGCATGTTGTGTGCAGCCATCACCTCCATCCATCTGCAGAATGTTTTCCCACTTGCAAAACTGAATCTCTGCCCAGTGAACAATAACTCCTCATCTGCCCCATCCCCCTTGCAAGCAGCTTTGCATGTCTGTCTCTGAATATGGCTGCTCTGGCAACTGCCTACAGGTGGAACCAAGTAGCTCTCATCCTGGGTCTGTCATTTCACTAGTAGCATGTCTTCAAGGTTCACCCATGTTGTTGTGTGAGTCAGAATTTCCTTCCTTTTTTAAGGCTGAGGGACATTGCACTGTATGGATGGATAAACCCCATCTTGTTTATCCACTCATCTGAAGATGGACACCTGATTACTTCCACCTTTTGGCTACTGCAAATAACACTGCCAGAAACACAGGGGTGCAAATGTCTCCTTGAAATACTGCTTTCAATTCTTTGGGATGGGTAGAGCCCAGAGATCCCTCTTCACCCCACACTTCTGGCCTCTTAGCAGAAACCCCAGGCAGCTTTCTGTGCTCTTTGTGACTTGGGCTATTTGGGGGAAGTCAGAATGATCACAGAGATGGTCCTGCCCACACCCCAGGTTTCTAATTAGTCATTTGTTGTTGAGACAAGAGGGGTTGGGGCTCTATCCTGGATGCGATGCAGAAAGGACTGTGAATTGAGTCAGCTTCTGACCACAGAGGGCTCTGAACCCGTGGGCGGCCTGGACCCAGCCTTGATGCCACCTGGCTCTGTGACCTTGGCTTTGTTCCTGAGCCCCCTGCCCCCAGGCCACTATGAGGGGGTCCTTACCAACCACTCCCCATCTTGTGCAGAATACAAGAGCAAAACATGGAACGTTCTCCCAGCAGCATCTGGTATACAGCAGCCGCTTGCAAATGTTGGCTTGAATTTCAGGCAGAGCAGCGCCTGGGTGGGGCACAGCCAGCCCACCTGGGCTACACGGCCTACCTGCCACTTCCTGTGCAACTTTGGGCAGGGGACCTCGCCCTTGGAGTTTTAGCTTTTTCACCATTCAGAGATGATTTTTCTCCCCCACCTAACTCCTGGAGGGGAGTTCAACTGTGACCCCTGCTCTCTGTGATACGGATCTGGAACCCTGAACACCACTTGCTCGCGTGTTGGTCCCGCATCCCTGAGCCTGAAAGGGGCGGGGTCATAATCTTACACTTGACAATCCCCCAAAGCCCTTCAGTGGATGCGTGCCATCTGCCCAGCAGTGCTGTGGCCCCGGTGCTGTCCTCAGCCATTTACAGTGGCAAGAGCTGAATCCCAATCTCAGGGAATGGAAGAGAGTAAGTACAAGGCTTATTCTCGGGCAGGTGCTCCCTACGTGATAGCAGAGACAGATACAGGCTGCTCCAGACTCACATCAAACCCTTAGCAACCCTAGTGGAAAGAGTGTTTTTTTCCTAAATAGTTCCAGCAAACATCTTGGACCTACCTCCCACCTCCCAGACGTGATCTTAAGAATATCTCAGATCATATTCTGCCTGATTCTGATTTAGGTCTGAGACTTGTTCCCCTTCCAGATTTGGGAAGTGGGTCAGCCCCACATGAACCATGGGTGCTGAGAATGAAGATGCTGGTGGCTGCTCAAAGGAAAATTGAGAAGTCAGGGCAGGCAAAGACCACAGGGATGACTGCAGCAGTGAAAGCCCGTCAGTGGACCCCGAACCCGACCGGTGCTGGAATCTCCTGGCGAGCATTTAAAAATGTAGGCCGCCTGGCTCCCTTGCAGACAGTTCTGATTGGGACTCTTCATTTTCAGTAACAACCCAGAGATTCAGATGTGTTTTGGCTTTTGAAATTCACTGGATGAGCTGACTATCAAAGTCCTTCTTGCTCTAACGTTCTCTGATTCTAAAGTCAATGAATGTTGGCTAAAAGGCTGAGCAGAAAAAATGTGGCAAACCCAGCATCATTCACTGGCTAGTCCATTTCCTCCCCGGCGCCGACCTGCGCTGGGCTGACTCATGACTAGTTCAGGCCAACGAGATGTGTGTGAAAGGGACATGTGTCGCTTCGAAGATGAAGCTGTTAAAAGCTCCTGCCCCCAAACACCTCATCCGCCTTCACGAATGATTTGTGGAACAGATTTGATGAATGATTTGCAAGCAGCAGTTCACTGCCACCCACAGCCAAGATGTGACAGCGGACACAGGAAAGAAAGCCTGGGACTCAATGTTCTCCCTTCCCCCCTTTCTCAAGCTGAATGGGAGACTGGTGTAGTGGTGCTGGGCTTGGCCTGTGGTGCCCAGGGTAGAAGAATAGGGAAGGCTGTCCAAGGTCAGAGGCACCCAGGACAGTTGGAGAAGTCAGGCTTGGATCAGGCTTGGATTGGCTCCATGGCCCAGGGCTAGTGGATACCATGTAAGGCAGCAGGGTGGGAGGAGAGCTGTAGCAGCTTGAGGGGGGATTTGTCCTGTCCTGATGGGGCTAGAGGGCAAGTTCAGTAGGAGGCATGACTCACCAGAGTCCCCAAATACCCCTGATGCTGCAGGAATCCATCCTGACACTTCCAAATCGAAGTCATTTCTTTCCATACATGATGACTCAGTGGCTTTGAGAATGTTTACACCCATGGATGGTCATTCCTTTTAGAGGTGACCCCTTGTTGGCAATTTCCCTATGGCTGGCGTTCCCTAGAATATGACTCGTGTGCACCCCAGGTTCTGTTTCCATTTGGG